GCTGACGAGATGTGAGACGTGTGGATCCATCTGCAAGCTTTTAATAGAGAGACGTGGTAAACAGGCAGGGTCAAACAATGGCAAACAGGTATATGGCGGGCAAAACACAAGAATAGTCCTAGGGCTAGCATAGGTCACCGATCGGCAGACAGAATCACAGGGGCGAGACGAGAGGGGAAAAAAAAACAGGAAAACAGGCAAAGATCAAAACAAGGAAACCACGGAGACTCGGAAAGGGGTACAGGCTAAACAATACTCCGCAGAGAAAGGTGGTTAGAGTGGGTGTTATATAGTGAATGAGGTAATTAGAAACAGCTGTGTGCAATGAGTGCAATCAGGGCAGTGTGCAAATTGTGCAAAGAATGATGGGAAATGTAGTCCGGGGTGCTATGCAACAGTTTGTGTAGTGCGAGAGTCAATGTAATGGAAAGGGTGACATCTGGTGGTGAATAAACGGAAGTCCATGAACCGAATTCGTGACAGTCAACAATCTCTCTCGCTCTGCTGGACATTGCTAAAATGCTAAAACCCATCTGCTAATAATGACTATACTCACAAAGCACAAAATATGTTATGGGTGTGTGTGTGTTTGATCGGTGGTGGTGGGTCCCTTCATCTGCAGCTTTTGTTTCAATCTTACACACACACATTATGAACGTAAGAAGCTGACGGATCAGTTCCAGATGGACTGAGCTGAATGCAGGAGTCACACGCTGGCTTTGGGTTCGGCTGGAAAAAGCTTTCCAAAGTGTATTAGACCATTGTGTCAGACGCACTTGTCTGTGGGCGCTTTTCTGTGTGTGTAGTCGAGTGTAGCGATTATGTAGTGTGTATGTGTGTGCGAGGGGTTGTCAAGTAGGGTGAGAGAGTCGCACTCTATCCACCCCCACACACACTACGAAAGCCCTAAAGAAGAGCAACAACTTCTTATCATCATGGGTGTGGTACTTCCTTAGAAATCCCACTGAGTCAATGAGCTGATGTCTAAAACATCACCACTGTCCAGAGAGAGAGAGAGGGAGGTGGGGTCAGTTTCTGTCCTGTTCGGATGACTGGAAAGCTATGAGTGTGAGCAGAGAGAAAGACAGAATTTAATGACTTTAACAAGGTTGGGTGATTGCCAACATGTGTTAATGCTGTTGCACTCCGTTCTTATTCATCAATACAATGAAGTGTCTTTTCAGAGCAAATGGTTCAGGAATTAAACCGGCTAATAGGAAAAGCTTTCTTTTGCATCATAAGGTAAAATGCTTGAAAATCCCTCCTGTGACAGACCATTCTTATTATGAAGTCATTGAGGATGTGTTATATCACTAGTAATAATCACATAGACTCACAGCTGAGTTACAACTCTATCCAAGAGGAAAACATTCATATCCTCGGTCTACTGCTCTGCTCTGAAAGACCAGAGACCCACTTCCTCTTAGTAATACTGTCTGTTTTGGAATAAAGACACCTTGAGGACCAGGTTTTTTTGGCATGTGTGAACAGCAGTGTTCCCATTAAATTGGTATATATATTTGAATAAATTGTGTATATTTTATTATAAAACATTTAATTAAAAGATTTATTGTTCTTATATTTACATACCAATTAATATGACTATTGTTATCTCATTCTGTAGGCAGAACGTGAGGAGTGGCAGCAATTCCAGGCTGACCTGAAGGTGGCGCTAGTGGTTTCAGACAGACTGAGGGCAGAAGCTGAGGAAGAGCTAGGTACTTTAAGAGCAGCAAGGCAGGACCTGGGCACACAGCTAGCCAATGCCTTGCAGGGTCGCCGGGAGGTCGAAAGTCAGTTGGAGAGCCTCAGAGTTGAGCTGGAGCAGAGCAAGCAGAAACTGAAGCAGGTCACAGGCAGCCACCAGGGGGCGCCAGCAATGAGGGGCCTAGAGAGACAAGTGGAGGGTTATGGGAAGAGAACTGGACCCGAAGATCAACTGTGGACAGATGAAATGAAGGGAAAAAGAGAAATGCGCATCTCTGGTACTACAGAGAGGTCAAGGTGAGTGTTATCCAGTTATGTCAAAAATTGCCAAAAATAAATCCTATACATACAGTGGTGGCCAAAATTATTAGAACACTAGTATTTTCATCAGCTAAATAAAAAAAGGTTTTAAGTCAGTTATTTCTATCTTTTGCTGTAGTGTGTTAGTAGGAAATATCAGTTTACATTTCCAAACATTAATTTTGCCATTAATTGTAATAATGCAGTGAGATTTTTGTCTGACAACAGCCAGTGCTCCACACAGAGATCTGATCTGATCATCATCCAGTTCTTGAAACATCTTGGAGATGTTGCCACAGTTCTTCTGGATTTAGTCTGTCTCAGTTTGTTCTGTTTCTTCATGTCACTCCAGACAGACTGGATGATGATCTCTGTGTGGAGCACTTGCTGTTGTCAGACAAAAATCTCACTGGATTATTACAATTAATGGCAAAATGAATGTTTGGAAATGTAAACTGATATTTCCCACTGACACACTACAGCAAAAGATATAAATAACTGGCTTAAAAACGTTTTTTATCTGGTGAAAAATGAAAATACTAATGTTCTAATAATCTTGGCCGTCACTGTACAAAGGCTCAAATTTTGAGATTGGATAAATGCACAATATAAACATTTAATGTAAAATATACCGGTAATACAACTAACTTACAACAATGTGCAGTATTGCTGATCTTTTGTAACGATAGTTAATACTAATGCATTTTCATTGTCAGTTCATGTCAGCTGTGGTCCATTAAATAATATGAACAAATACATCTTTTGATTTTAAGAATTTATTAGTGAAAGTTGATATTAATGTGAACATAAAGGTCAATGTGTTAGAAATATTTTTCATTGTTAATTCGTGTTTGCTAATGTAGTTAACTAATGTTACCAAATGTAACCTTATTGTAAAGTGTTAACAATATACTTTACAATATTATGATTGATAGTGCAAATGTCTATATCTTTTAGCTGCCTTTTCTCTGTATTTTAAATGAGTGTTTGGATGGAGTTTCCGTTAATAGCAGCTTTGTTTTGGAATGAATCTGTTGAGTGAATGATTGAATAATTGAATGAATCACTCAGTACTCTAACAGATGCTCACTCATCACTACCTACTGATGTAATTATGGAACACTCACAGAATAAATAAGTTTCTTGTTGATCTGAATCAAAAGATTAAAGTCTATTATATGAATCATGGGACATGTACTAGTTTGGAAATCAAGGTAATGGACCTGGTACATCTGAACATGTAAGAGTGAAGTCAATTCCTCTGTATGGAATCAATTTCCACCTTTGGAATCTAAAGTACTCTTGATTCCCAACGGAATCAAAGAATGGATTCTGATTCAGTCTGATTCATGTTTGTCTGTTCATCCAGTGAGTTCCATCAAGAAATCATTGTGAAGCAGAGCACAGTCGATGCATGCCTTAGACATATGCGATTTGTCCAATAGACAACATCGTTTAGTGATTCTAAATGATTCATTGTTTACAGTCCACAGTCTGTCAAAGAGACAGTGTGACCCATGTTAATTTCATGGATCATTCCATCATTTTTGCAGGAGCCTGTGCCGGCTGCCCTCAGATTGCCCTGATGTTGTTGTAAATGGTACTTATCAACCTTCCGTTACTATGACAACAGTATCTGTGAGTAGAAAAACAAATATTTGGATATTTATGATTATGTATCTAAAATATTTAACAGTAAAAATTAGTAAACAGTGTCTAATAACTTCAGACTTCTAAGAGCAAGACTCAAGCAGTAAGTTTAGACCAACAGAACAACAAGACCATATATATATATATATATATATATATATCACAGTTTTTACTGTATTTTGATCAAATACATGCAGCCTTGGACAAAAGATACTTCTTTCATAAGCATTTTGAACTGTATTGGTTATGTATATTCTGTTGTGTTTATCTGTGAAATAATAGGGAATTTTTTTGCTTACTATGTAGAATATATATATATATATACTGTATATATATTATGGATCAAAACATTTCATCAAAGTTGTCCTAAAACCAAAATGTCTTAGAACAACTTTGATGAAATTTTTTTGATCCACTTCAAATGTTGACTACTGTATATCTAGAGTATCTGCCTGTCTCTGTCTTATTTTGCTGCTTCCTGTCTTTCTTTCAGAATATTGAGATCACTAATTTCAGCAGTTGCTGGGTGGATGGTTTGGCCTTTTGTGCTATTTACCACAGTTACCTCCCCTCTCATATACCATATGACAAACTCAGTCCAGAGAATAAGGTAATACAAACTTCATATGCATGACTTACATGCAAACATATTAACATAAGGGTTATGATAATGGTGATGATTTTATCCACAGAAAGAGAATCTCACTCTTGCATTCCAGACTGGAGAAGGTTTTGGAATCTCTGCATCACTGGTGCGTGAACTTGAGTTTTTTTCTAAACAGTTGTATTTAATTTCATAACTCAATCATTTAATTACTGCACCATGATTCAGCCACCAAACAAATCAAGCAATGCACTATTAATTAGTTCCAGCTTGAATTAAAAAAAACATCTGTCAGATATTGGTGCTGACTTCAGATGAGAATGAGAAACTTGACAGGCAAGATGTGAAAATGACTCAATCATGATTGAATAGACATGTGAATAACTTAGATATGATTGATTAGATATGTAATTGGCTCAGAAATGACTGGCTAAACATAAGAATTACTCAGACATGACTGACTGGATATGTAAATGCCTCAGACATGATTGGCTGATATGATAATGACACAATCAGGATTCAAAAAATAACTCAAACATGATTCATGGAAATTAATCAAATATGACTATTAGTATGATTTCGTGTGGTTGTTAATTTCTGACTAATGTTTCATTGTGGTTCCTCAGACGGTGGAGGAGATGCTAAAAGAAGAAGCACCGGACTGGCACAGAGTTCTGGAATACGTAGAGAGCCTCTACCGCCACTTTGAGATGTAAGACTGTGAATATATACACGTCCTGATCATTTATACCGTGATCACGAATGCTTTCAAAATTCCACCACAGCAACAGTATATTCTCAGAGGGGAGCACACAACTTCAAGCAACCTTAAAGTAGACCTGAAAGTTCATCTTTAGCTGTTGGTCTGCGATCAGATTTTTTAAAGTAACTAAGAGGTTTGTATTAGAAAAGGTTTTGCTGGTTAGCATGGCCTGCTAACACTGCCACATATTCTGATTTCTTGCAAGCAACAAATTAATTGCTTGTTTCATTATATTATATTGAAGAGCTGTCAAATGGACTTAAGGGCTTGTGACTATGTGCTCTCTTGATGTGCCATTGACCAATCAGCATTTACAGCTGAGGTGATTAGCTCAAAATTGTTTGTGCCAAGAACTGAGAGCCCGAAAAGGAAGCAAGCAGGTTGCTTACTTCTGGGGATCCTGCACTAATTTTGCATTCACACCACTGAGATGAGCTGGAATGCTATTGAATAGCTTGTCCTAGTATTATAGATCTCCTGAGAAAGGCTGGAGTGTCCGTGTAAAGTAGGGTTTTGAGTTGGATGAGGAGTGTCCATCAAAATGACTGTTTTGTTTGTTATTGCTGCTTTCTGCCCTCTGTTGGTTTTCATTTGGTATTGCAGTTTCAATTTGTTGTTTGTCATTTTGCTCTTTTTTATTCAGATTCTCATACAGTAAGACCTGGACTACAGTATAAATCTCAAATCACAGAAATCATTACTCTTGTATGTGTGCCATGTTTTTTCGCTGTGATCTGATTAAGGAACCGAGCTGATTCATTCAGCAGCTGTAATATCATCCTGTTTTGTTATCTTTGAGCCCCAAAACCATCATTGATACTCTGACACCAAAGTACCATTAGTGTGATGCATATATTAAAGGAAAATAAGATTCCAAAGACAAGCATTAATAAATCAATGTTTTGTTTTTACTGTTTAGCTCTGTTTTTCTTAATGCGCATTCAGACGTGTAGTTTTCCCTGACAAATCCGTGAGGCTTTGGCAAGCCTGTTTACGTGAGAATGTGTAGGAAAACTGTTGGACTAAAGGAAAATATTCATGAATTTGAAAGGGACATTTAGGCATCATAGATTCAACAGCCTCGAATGTCAGTGGCTGCGCAAAATTATTCTGGCACAAAAATGTACACACAAAATTGTTTCTCCATTCTCTCTGTCACTGTTAGAAATGTATTCCTATTTATGTTTCTATTCCTAATTTCAGTTTTAGTGGTTTAAAGACGTGGTCTTTGATATATGGAAGTTCCTGTTTTAAAATAACCGAACAAAAACCAGTTGACTGACATATGTTTATTGTATTCAACCACTTAAATACCATAGGGGACAGACACGTCATAATGAAAGTTGTGAAAGTTATGTGCCTGAGGGAAAATATTTATCCAATGAAGATGTACATTTTCCATAACAAAAGTTTCTTGGAGAAGGCTTGATTAATCTAAGTCGTTCTTAGTGTTGGTACTGTACATAAATATATATTACTTAGTTAAATGTCTTCTAGTGCACTCCCTCCTTATTTATATTGGCTTGTATTGGTCTTCATACCGGACACTGATCTCCTTCTAGTCGCTATTTAAAAAAAATCTGCATGAAAGAATACTGTTGTAATAAATAAATAATAACAAGAAATAAATACATACATACTTGAACCGTATTTTACCATATATTAAAGGAAAATAAGATTCCAAAGACAAGCATTAATAAATCAATGTTTTGTTTTTACTGTTTAGCTCTGTTTTTCTTAATGCGCATTCAGACGTGTAGTTTTCCCTGACAAATCCGTGAGGCTTTGGCAAGCCTGTTTACGTGAGAATGTGTAGGAAAACTGTTGGACTAAAGGAAAATATTCATGAATTTGAAAGGGACATTTAGGCATCATAGATTCAACAGCCTCGAATGTCAGTGGCTGCGCAAAATTATTCTGGCACAAAAATGTACACACAAAATTGTTTCTCCATTCTCTCTGTCACTGTTAGAAATGTATTCCTATTTATGTTTCTATTCCTAATTTCAGTTTTAGTGGTTTAAAGACGTGGTCTTTGATATATGGAAGTTCCTGTTTTAAAATAACCGAACAAAAACCAGTTGACTGACATATGTTTATTGTATTCAACCACTTAAATACCATAGGGGACAGACACGTCATAATGAAAGTTGTGAAAGTTATGTGCCTGAGGGAAAATATTTATCCAATGAAGATGTACATTTTCCATAACAAAAGTTTCTTGGAGAAGGCTTGATTAATCTCAGTCGTTCTTAATGTTGGTACTGTACATAAATATATATTACTTAGTTAAATGTCTTCTAGTGCACTCCCTCCTTATTTATATTGGCTTGTATTGGTCTTCATACCGGACACTGATCTCCTTCTAGTCGCTATTTTAAAAAAATCTGCATGAAAGAATACTGTTGTAATAAATAAATAATAACAAGAAATAAATACATACATACTTGAACCGTATTTTACCAAAATATGAGGGACTTTTTCTTTGAAAGGGAATTACTCAGCACATACGTTATTGACTTCACACACTTCCACGTGTCCCTGAAACCAGGAAGAGAGAATGAATAAACCAAACAGACTCAGTGAACTGTTCGCCTGTCACTGAACTGCCTGCTGTCACCCGCGGGTCCCCCAATAACCCTCATTGATCCCCATTCATCAGCACGGTGAGTGTGAATACATCTGAATGTGAGCTGTTGTTATGCTTATGTTGCATTGTTTGTTTTGTTCTGACGGCTAAGAGATCTTACTTTACTCCTCCAGTCAGGTGACTTTCAAAGTCTTACTGTGTTTTATAATATCAGTGTAGTCCGTGAATACCAGTGTAGTCAGACTGAATTGAACTAAGCTCTTGAACGTTTGGGGATCTTGGTGACTTTTAAATGCTACGATGTGCTTCGCATTAATGAAAGCGCTCCTTTCATATAAAGTGAAACAGGATGCTGCAGGTGAAGGTAAAGCCACGTAGTTCACTTACAGGTTGAGTAAGAATAGAACACACCCACATACCTGTTAACAATGAACCAGTAATTACAATAGCCTAACTCATGTGGCTATCTTTTTTAATCTGTGCTGAAGGCTCTCAACATGCGTCAGAAGATCTTGGTGACAGGAGGAGGTGGATACATTGGCAGCCACTGTGTTGTGGAGCTCATAGAGGCTGGTTATCACCCTGTGGTCATCGATAACTTCAGTAATGCTGTCAGAGGTAAACAGACTTCAATAAATCACACATAGTGAAGAAGGGATTTGGTGGTACACTGAACACACAGGGACCCTTTTCAGTAAATCTTGCTGCATTACAAAGAGCCTCAGAAATATCCGGCACACACAGTGAGCCCTTGTGGACTATATGTAGTATTTGCTGGGTGAAGCAATCTATAGTCTCAGTAACGAAACTTTTTTTAAATATGAAATTAAATATTTTATAAATAATATGCATTCATTTTTATATTTAATTTCATTTATAAAAACAATGTTTTGCTTAATTTATTGTAATATTGTTAACTTTGCTTTTAAATTTAGGACAAACCCTTTATATTTCAAATTTAAATTAATGTTTCCTGTTTTTTATGTCTGTCATTCTTTGTGGATGTGTGTTTTGTTGAGGAGAGGGTGATGTTCCAGAGAGCTTGCGGAGAATAGAGAAGTTTCTGAAAACTCAGATTGAGTTCCATGAGCTGGACCTTCTGGATAAACCTGGATTGGAGAAAATATTCAAAAAGGTAAAAATAAATATACACTCTTTTATTTTTTATATTACATTTAATCTTTTTCGTATCCGTTACTTGCTTTGTATAATGAAATCTAATTACTGTTCTACATTGAGCCACAACATGTCTCCGGTTTTCTTCTCATTTTTTTATACATTTATTTTATTATTATTTTTATTGTTACTTAGCCACAACATGTCTACGTTCTATTTTACAATCTTTATATTTTTATATAGTTTATTTTGTATGTATTTTTTTTCAGCCACAAAATGTATGCTATTTTTATTTGATTGCTTATAGTTTTATACTTTTTATTTGTTTTTTATTATTATTTATATTTGTATATATTTAATACATTTTGAAACAGGATGGATGATAGATAGAAAGAAAGAAAGAAAGAAAATAATAACAAACAAACATGTTTTTTCTTGCCAAAACCTGACTGGAAACCTGCTTTCAGAACTTGCCTGGTGAAATAATGTGTAACAGCGCCCCTTAGTGGCTAATGGAGTTCATTGTTTCCTCTCTGTGTCCCAGCACTCCTTCTATGCAGTGATGCACTTTGCAGGACTGAAAGCTGTGGGTGAATCAGTAGAACAGCCTTTACGATACTACAGAGTCAATCTCACAGGAACCATCAATCTGCTGGAGGTAAGAATTGTGTCTAAATTGTTGGTATGTATTTGCATGGATTGCCATTATGCATTATATTTATGCATGGAGTGTCCATATGAATCTTTGAACTGATTGTTACAGATTCAGTACAGTTTGGAGTCTGTGTGTGCATGTTAGTGCTTAAGGCATGCCTTACTGTCTGTGGCCCTGTGTGTCTGAATCAGGTGATGCAGTCTCATGGAGTGCGTAATCTGGTATTCAGCAGCTCCGCCACCGTCTATGGAGACCCCCAGAAACTCCCCATTGATGAGCAGCATCCAGTGGGTGGCTGCACAAACCCCTATGGCAAGACCAAGTACTTCATAGAGGAAATGATCAGGGACCAGTGCACAGCAGAGAAGGTAGCTGACCGCTCTCTCATGACACTTTTGACTCTGTGGCAGGTTTGTGACTGATAAAATGTCTTGCAGGATTGGAATGCTGTGCTGCTCAGGTACTTCAATCCCATTGGTGCTCACATCTCGGGACAGATTGGTGAAGATCCACAGGGAATCCCAAACAACCTTCTGCCTTACGTTGCCCAGGTAACCCGTTTGACCACTTAAGGTCTAGAAGAGCCTTGTGTGTGTGTGCCTGTGTTTATTGTAACGGATGTTGTTCTTTCTCACTGTGTACTGCAGGTGGCTGTTGGCAGAAGAAAACATCTCAATGTGTTTGGAAATGACTACAGCACACCTGATGGAACAGGTGATGAGAGATGGTTTTCAGCATGCTATTTCTGCCATAACTCTCTGATTTTCTCTGATTTACGTACTAGGTTTGGATTTGTAATTCGTTTTTTAATTGTTTTTAGGTTTTTAATTGTATTTTCTCAACCTGTTTTCATTTTTGTTAGTTTTCTTTATTGTTAGTTTAAGTCATTACTGTTAACTAAAACTATTAAACACTGTTTTGGTTAAATTAAACAAAGCTGAAATCAAATATAAATATTACATAAACTGAAACGAAATTTTGGAATGTTGCCTTGGCCACTAATTTAAATAAAATAAGTTGAAGTACTAAAACTAAGACTAAAACTGAAATAAAAATAAATTAAAGCATTGGAATATTATTATTGAATAACTAACAAAATTATATATAATTATATAGTTGTATATGCATAATACTAAAATAACACTGGTTTTAGTTGGTGGTGGTGTTTTTTTTTTTTTGGTCAGAGTTTTCTAGTTTCAGTTTATTCCGTTTTTATTTTAGTAGTTTGTGCTATCATTAAAACACTTATCATTTCAAATATTAATGCTGTTAAATTTCTAAGCTATGGCTAATGTTTTTGCTATGCAGTGGCATTTTCATGATTAATGCTGGTGGGCTGTAAAGGTTTCAAGTTTTATAATATACTATGTCTCTAAAACTAAAATTTATTTGTATTATTATTATTATTTTAGTTAGTTTTGGAGTATTAAAAATGTTTATTTTCAGTTTCTTCCTAGTTATGTTGGTTTTTATTTCAGTTAATAGGAATGTTTCCATTTTCTTTTCATTTTAGTTTTCAGTAATGACAATATCACTGATTCCTTTATTTCTGGGTAGGTGTGAGAGACTACATCCATGTTGTTGACTTGGCAAAGGGGCACATTGCTGCCGTCAGGAAACTGAAGGACAACTGTGGGTGTAAAGTATGACTTTTTTTACTTCCTCTTTAATGTACTCCATTTTCACATCCTTTTTTTTTCTTCTCAGTTTTACATTTCTGTGTTGGTCTCTGTGTAGGTTTATAATCTGGGCACAGGTACAGGTTACTCAGTGCTGCAGATGGTGAATGCCATGGAAAAAGCTTCAGGTCGAAAGGTGAGGCGTAAACCTGCTGTGGTCCAAAGCAGACACACATTTTGTTTAGCCTTAATGAAATCTCATTATGATGTTTATATTGCAATAATTTTTTTTGGGGGGGGGGATCTGACATTCTCTTTAATGCTATAGTATTTTTCTTCTGGTCCCAGATTTCCTATCAGATTGCACCTCGACGCAGCGGTGATGTGGCCTCCTGCTATGCAGATCCAACTCTGGCGGAGAAAGAGCTGGGCTGGAAGGCTGAATTCGGCCTGGAGAGGATGTGTAAGTGTGAATTGAAATCATTTTAATTCTGCAACGTGCATAAGTAGATAAGAGTGTAATGAGGTGTGAAGTACTGACGGCTCATGATTAATCAGACTTTTTTTTTTCTAATCACACAGGTGAGGATCTGTGGCGCTGGCAATCCCAGAATCCCACAGGATTCAGTAATGGAACACAGTCTTAAAACTGGATGAATGCAGAATGTTTCTTACGGAAATAAGGGAATTGCACACATGGCAAAAAAAACAAACAAAGCCAAAGTGGGACCATGAAGTCTTTCATTTTGTAAGAATTATATGTAAAATCATCATATTACAAGAAACTTGAAGCTAAACAAATGATTTTATCAAATTTAAAATCTGTCTCTTTTGTTTTCTAATGTCCTCCATTTTCGTGTAATCTCACTTTTATCAAAGTACACTGAATGGTTCATTTCTAATCTAGAATTTTAGTAGTTTGTGCTATCATTAAAACACTTATCATTTCAAATATTAATGCTGTTAAATTTCTAAGCTATGGCTAATGTTTTTGCTATGCAGTGGCATTTTCATGATTAATGCTGGTGGGCTGTAAAGGTTTCAAGTTTTATAATATACTATGTCTCTAAAACTAAAATTTATTTGTATTATTATTATTATTTTAGTTAGTTTTGGAGTATTAAAAATGTTTATTTTCAGTTTCTTCCTAGTTATGTTGGTTTTTATTTCAGTTAATAGGAATGTTTCCATTTTCTTTTCATTTTAGTTTTCAGTAATGACAATATCACTGATTCCTTTATTTCTGGGTAGGTGTGAGAGACTACATCCATGTTGTTGACTTGGCAAAGGGGCACATTGCTGCCGTCAGGAAACTGAAGGACAACTGTGGGTGTAAAGTATGACTTTTTTTACTTCCTCTTTAATGTACTCCATTTTCACATCCTTTTTTTTTCTTCTCAGTTTTACATTTCTGTGTTGGTCTCTGTGTAGGTTTATAATCTGGGCACAGGTACAGGTTACTCAGTGCTGCAGATGGTGAATGCCATGGAAAAAGCTTCAGGTCGAAAGGTGAGGCGTAAACCTGCTGTGGTCCAAAGCAGACACACATTTTGTTTAGCCTTAATGAAATCTCATTATGATGTTTATATTGCAATAATTTTTTTTGGGGGGGGGGATCTGACATTCTCTTTAATGCTATAGTATTTTTCTTCTGGTCCCAGATTTCCTATCAGATTGCACCTCGACGCAGCGGTGATGTGGCCTCCTGCTATGCAGATCCAACTCTGGCGGAGAAAGAGCTGGGCTGGAAGGCTGAATTCGGCCTGGAGAGGATGTGTAAGTGTGAATTGAAATCATTTTAATTCTGCAATGTGCATAAGTAGATAAGAGTGTAATGAGGTGTGAAGTACTGACGGCTCATGATTAATCAGACTTTTTTTTTTCTAATCACACAGGTGAGGATCTGTGGCGCTGGCAATCCCAGAATCCCACAGGATTCAGTAATGGAACACAGTCTTAAAACTGGATGAATGCAGAATGTTTCTTACGGAAATAAGGGAATTGCACACATGGCAAAAAAAACAAACAAAGCCAAAGTGGGACCATGAAGTCTTTCATTTTGTAAGAATTATATGTAAAATCATCATATTACAAGAAACTTGAAGCTAAACAAATGATTTTATCAAATTTAAAATCTGTCTCTTTTGTTTTCTAATGTCCTCCATTTTCGTGTAATCTCACTTTTATCAAAGTACACTGAATGGTTCATTTCTAATCTAGAATTATTTATACTTCCTTGTCAGTATGAAATAATAAAAAATGATTTTGCTTATTTAGAAATAACTTCTGTGTTATTGTGTGTCCAACTGAATTTTTTCAGCATTGTACCGATTGTTCATTTAACAGTTCTGTATACAATTGGTTTTTGTTTGTTTGGTTTTTTTTTTACATGTTTTTTGTCAGCACTCGCTTGTTAGACTCACTGTGCGTAACGAACATCGTGCACTGTCAAATCAATGGCGCTGTTTCCTATTAGACGAAAGGGTCAACGTAAGTGCTGAAAAACATCAAATGAGACATTTTTTCATTTTCAAGGCCAGAACCTGCTAATATAAATAAATCGGGTTTGCTGTGCGGGGCGCGTGTGCTTTAAGCGGTTCTCCGGTCCCGGGCGCACCGGACACCCACGTCAGCAAAACGTTTTTCCAGCACAAACGGGTTTCGGTCTTTCGGGCAAAGCAGGAAGTGAAAGCCGTTCGCCCTGATAACAAAAGCTGGAGAAATACATCCAAAGTAGGCTAAGAAATGGAGATGGTTTGTGAAAGTGGGACATGTCGACCGTACCGGAGTGCGGGTGACGCGGGGCATCTGTGAGTATTATGTTTAAGAGACTGGGGGGAAACGGTGCCCGGGTGAAGAGGGTGGGCGACGGGGACCAGCGCGAGGCTCAGCGCCAACCCGCGGGTCGCCCGAGCTCAGGTGATACGAAATATGAAAAGGCGATGAAGGTGCTTGCAAAGCCGGGTGTTTTGCGTTTTAAAATCTAGTCTGGAGCGTTTCCAGCTGAGATCGGTTCGGTGGGCGGCTCTCCGCGGACGACAGGGCTCCCGTCAGAAACCACCCCAACGCCTCTTTCCCCTTATCTGACAGGGTTTATTCGTAATGTAAGAAATGATATGCCTGGTTAATGTTTAAATGTCCTTTTAGTGAATCACAGGCGAGTGTGCGCGTTATCTCAGGTAGGCTATTACTTTCTTTCTCCGGCGGGCGTTTTTTGCACATATAGGGCGCAGTGACTTTAATTTTATAACTGGCTTTTCTAGAGAAGACACTTCTCTCATTGACCTGCAGGGGGTGGTATCACACTGCTCTCAGAAAGCAGACGAACTGTACACCAACCTTCCGTCTATTCCGTCTATTGTTGGGGTAGTTGGGGTGTTTAATAAAGGTGAGCACAAAACTGCAGATATTGTACATATATAGTTTGGGGTCAGTACATTTTTTTTTTTTATGAATACTTCTATTTAACAAGGATGCATTAAAATTATCAATAGTGACAGTAAAAACCTTTTCATTGTTACAAAAAATCAACTTCAAATAAAAGCTGCTTTTAAACTTTACATTCGTTAATACATCATGAAAAAAAGGTATCAAAGTTTCCACAAAAATGGATTTCCAGACCTAATCAGCATTAGAATGATTTATGAAGAATTTTGTGACACTGGAGTAATGATGCTGAAAATGTCGCTTTTACAGCGTTGCAATCACAGGAATAAATCGTTTTTTTCTTATTAGAATAATATTGTACAGTAATACTGCCTTCACATACATATATATATATATAATCATATAAAATCTATTCATACATTTGTGCATTAGGATGAAGGAGAAAAACATTTATTAAAAAAATTATTTTGTCCTCCAGCAAGAATTTCTCTGCCTCCACAATAAAACATTTTCTATGTTCATATTGCACAAATCCAAATGCCATTTTGCAATTAAGAGCCATTCAAGGTTTTAAACAACAGTCAAAACTTGGATAGAAGTTAATAATGTTAAACATTTCTCCTTTAGGCCTTTTTCTTCCAAAACAAGAGATGTTTTGATTTTAAATAGGCTTTCAAATAGTCATTTGATGTGGTGATGCATGAAAGGGATCTAACAGTCCATGTCTGCCTCTCTCTGTCTCAGATTCCACTCCCTCTATGCGTTACAAATGTCCATTCTGCACGCACACAGTAAAGAGAAAGGCCGATCTGAAGCGTCATCTCCGCTGTCACACAGGTGAGCGTCCTTATCCCTGTCAGGCCTGCAGCAAACGTTTCACTCGCCTGGAACACCTGCGCAGCCATTTTGAGACGGTGAGAAACACACTCAGCTTCACACATGTCTGGTCCATTAACACCTCCACAGGCTGTACATCCACATGCTACTGTTGGTCATTAATTCATATCTTGTACTGTGTATGATGATCACATTAAGTCATGGCTGAATTAAGTCAAGTGTAATGGATGTAATTTAACATAATTACCTATTTTTTCAGGCTGTCAAATAAAATCATTAATGTGGTATCTTAAACATCCCCCGTGTTATCACTTGTGTTCCACAGATCCATCAGGCCCGTAAGCTGGTGTGCAGGAAGTGCAAACGGCATGTAACTGAAGTCACTGGGCGAGTGGTAAGCGAGGGAACCCGCAAATACAGGCTGTGTGATGTTTGCATTCAAGAGAGCGGCTACAGTGAGTTGATCACTGATGGGACGGATGGAATTGAGGACAAGGAAGGCCTGTTGTTGGGTGTTGAAGAGGACATGAGTGAGAACAGGCAAATCGCATGGGTCATGGATGACGATGACCTTGCAGAAGATTCCGGAGCAGATCTTATAATCCAGGAAGTGGAGGACAGCGACGAGGAAGCCAGTGGAAAGTGATGATGTGCTTGTGGTTGTGTGTGAAAGGGGGAATGGGCTAGAGCTGTCTTCCTGGCAGTTTATGGTCTGTTAAGGGAAATGATTGTGCGTTTTTGTACAAATAAAAACACTTTCTCATTGAAAATCTAAAGTATTAAAATATAACTGCTTTTATAAAAGTACAAGTATATTTCTGTAATTAAAGTATATTTAGTTTAATTCAAAAAGGCATTTATTGGCAGAATGGCAATGCGGAAATTTAATTTAGATAGGCTACAGGGCTGATACAATGGGACAGAATTTTCTGTAATAAAAAACAAATCTGCAATATCCTAGTTTTGACTTTCAATTTTCACAGCAGTTTTATGTTTTCACATTAACTATATTAACTATATACATTTACTACAACTTTAGTTAATGCCAAGGTTTACATATGTAATTTAATAAACTATGCTGCATGGAGTCCACGTGACATACTTTGTGTGATGTGTAACAGACTCATTTATTTATTTAAAACAAGTTATATTTGTTACCAGTCACAGGCTCAACATAAACTTTGTCTAAATAAAATATTGTATGTATGAATATGTGTTTTTGTTTCACTCTCTATATATCATCTTTGCCATTTGTCTTATTTTGACAGAACATTATTTGTGTTTTGATTATTTGGTCTAAAGGAAATATATTTTATACACATACAGTTTATATCATTGGCATTTAACCAGAATTTTGAAAAGGGTAATACATTGCCTTATTCTAACTTTATACCGACATTTAACACAACCTCTTGGATTTTTTCACTTTTTGGACAAACAAGAAAAACATTCAGCTATTAGAGCCCCGATGACAGATTGGTGCCGAGCCTCTAGAAATCTGATCCCGTGTTATCGCGAGATCTAAATCCATATATGAGCTAATGACGTCAGGGCGAATCGGGGCGTGTGAAGATGGCGGCGCTCATGATGAGACTTGGTCCAGGTTCTTTCGGTTCTGCTCGGGTTCACAGACCTGCTCTGTTCTCCGCTGCTGCCGCAATACTGAGATCCGTAAGTTCACGCGAGTGCTTTTCTGAATGTGACGATGTTACGTGGTTTGTGTTTACCTAAATTAATTAAATTACGAATGACATAGCCTTCATGTTTATACTATTTTGCGTGCATGTGTATATTTGTCTAACGTTACTCGTGTGTGTGTGTGTGTGTGTGTGTGTGTGTGTGTGTGTGTGTGTGTGTGTGTGTGTGTGTGTGAGTGATCTGACAGGTCAGTGTGTCTGCCACACAGTCAATCTCATTGCCAGAGATGGTTAAGATTGTAGAGGTTGGACCCCGAGACGGACTTCAGAATGAGAAGGTCAAGCGTTTTCTGTGATTCTGAATTAACCTGCATCAACACCCAGCATGACAGCTCTGTGTTGTGGGATTAAACACTTCTGTTTTATGTTTGCCAACTGTCAAACCCTGTTGACACATAGTGAATAGTTATTTCAGAAGGTTTGTCCTGGAAGTATCATGGAATTTCAAAGGTGTGATTTCCAGGTCTGGATAATGGAAATGAGTAAAATAGTAAAAGTCATTGAAATGTGTCACATATGATGATGGAAAAGTTCTGGAAACCATGTAAAGTGAAATACAAGCGCTGTATCATTTCTGTTAATCAAACTCTGCATCCATCAGACCGTCGTTCCAACAGAGGTGAAGATCTGTCTGATTGATATGCTCTCAGAGGCAGGACTTCCTGTCATTGAGGCCACAAGTTTTGTTTCACCTAAATGGGTCCCTCAGGTGAGATGCAGCATACGCCATCAAAGCCTGCAAACATTTAATAAACAAACTCTCACAACATGAAATAAAACACTGTAAAGAGAGAGAATGATGAGAGATTGGCTGCATTTGATTGGCAGATGGCCGATCAAGAGGAAGTGATGCGTGGCCTCCACAAGAAACCTGGCGTGAACTACCCTGTTCTGACCCCTAATCTGAAGGGATTCCAGGCTGCTGTGAGTGAAATACAGCACAGACTGTTATGTGCTAGTGCTATATTAAATATGTTTATTTATATACTACCATTCAAAAGTTTGGAGTTAGTAAGAAATATATTTATAATCTCAGATGAAGGCTGGTGCAAAAGAGGTGGCAATATTTGGTGCTGCATCAGAGCTCTTCAGTAAGAAGAACATAAACTGTTCAGTGGATGAGAGTCTTGTGCGCTTTGAGGAGGTGATGAGAGCAGCCAATCAAGAGGGGGTTCCTGTGAGAGGGTAAGACACCTGCCGATTGCACATTTCAGTGTCTCAGTAATTTTTCCATAACCCAGTGCTCTTATTTCAGAAAAATCTTCTCTTTCTCTGTTATTCCCAGCTATGTGTCATGTGTGCTGGGTTGTCCATATGAAGGGACGGTATCGCCGAACAAAGTGGCAGAGGTGGCTAAGCGACTGTATTCCATGGGCTGCTATGAGATTTCTCTTGGCGATACTATCGGAGTGGGCACTCCGGGTGGCATGACGGAGATGTTGAATGCCGTGAAGAAAGAGGTTCCTGTGGAGGCTTTAGCAGTTCACTGTCATGACACTTATGGACAAGCACTCGCTAACATACTTGTAGCATTACAGGTATGGAAGTGCGTGGAATACTCTGCCTGTCTGTCTTGATTTATATTTTTACCATATTCATAGTGGTTTACTGTCTGTCGAGACCTGTCCTTATACTGAATCTTTAGTGACACAAATGCCTTGCGTGCATACTATCCATTCTCACCTTTTCATTTTTCGCGTTCTTAAAATGAGCAACACACCTTTGTAGGGCTGTGCAATTAATCGCATGCGATCGTCAAGCGCATCTCGTCAGTAAAGCCGGTTCCGTGATTGGTAGTAAATCGCCATCACCTGCTTTCAGATGGAGCTGCATTTAATACACAGAGCCGTAGTTCACTGAAGAGCTAGGCAATATCGCGTTCATAATCGAATGCGATTCATCTGCGATTATGAACGCGATATTGCCTAATTATTGCCCTACACTTTTGTTTTATGTGTTCTTTTCTAGAATGGGGTAAGTGTCGTGGATTCATCCGTTGCAGGGCTGGGCGGCTGCCCTTATGCCCAAGGGGCTTCTGGGAATGTTGCAACTGAAGATGTGGTCTATATGCTGCACGGACTGGGAATAAGCACTCGCTAACATACTTGTAGCATTACAGGTATGGAAGTGCGTGGAATACTCTGCCTGTCTGTCTTGATTTATATTTTTACCATATTCATAGTGGTTTACTGTCTGTCGAGACCTGTCCTTATACTGAATCTTTAGTGACACAAATGCCTTGCGTGCATACTATCCATTCTCACCTTTTCATTTTTCGCGTTCTTAAAATGAGCAACACACCTTTGTAGGGCTGTGCAATTAATCGCATGCGATCGTCAAGCGCATCTCGTCAGTAAAGCCGGTTCCGTGATTGGTAGTAAATCGCCATCACCTGCTTTCAGATGGAGCAGCATTTAATACACAGAGCCGTAGTTCACTGAAGAGCTAGGCAATATCGCGTTCATAATCAAATGCGATTCATCTGCGATTATGAACGCGATATTGCCTAATTATTGCCCTACACTTTTGTTTTATGTGTTCTTTTCTAGAATGGGGTAAGTGTCGTGGATTCATCCGTTGCAGGGCTGGGCGGCTGCCCTTATGCCCAAGGGGCTTCTGGGAATGTTGCAACTGAAGATGTGGTCTATATGCTGCACGGACTGGGAATCCATACTGTAAGTACAGGACTGTGTCTGTGTCACATCTAAATCTTAATCTCACAGTCAAATCTATCAGCAGTCTGGATTCTTTAAGAAAATTCTGATCTGTAAATGCTGACCTAAAACAACTTCCTTTAATAGGGAACGTCATGCTTAAATCATGACTGATTTTGCTGAATTATGGTTTAACTTCTCATAAATTCACAGGCTTTCTATAAAGTATGCTACTATTCCAATTTTGGAATTGGTAAGAGTTTTTTTTATTTATTTTTTTTTTTTAAGTGTTTTTAAAAGAAGTCTCTTTTGCTCACTAAGGCTGCATTAATCTGAATAACAATTCTGCTCCACTAAGCAAGACCCTTAATCCCTGCTGTTTTCAAGGCAGAAGTTTCTGAATCTACCCAAGACTGGTAGTAATATTATGTAGTAATAGTAATATTATGAAATATTACAATATAAAATAACTGTTTTCTATTTTAATAAATTTGAAAATGTAATTTATGTGATGCCAAAGCTGAATTTTCAGCAGCCAGTACTCCAGTCTTCAGTGTCACGAGAAACACGTGGGGTCAGAGAATGAATGGAAAGTAGTCATAAAATAATTACATTATACTTTAAGAAAATAAAAATGTCACAAATACTACTGGGCCTCTGGGTATAAAACGAAATAATAATGTAAAAAATATATATAATAATAATAATAATAAAAAACAGTTATACCACACATTTAAGCTGTAGTTTCTTTGTTTTAGGGAGTGGACCTGCCCAAACTGTTGGACGCTGGCTCATACATCTGTCATTCACTCAACAGGAAGACAAATTCAAAAGTAGCTCAGGCCTCCAGCAAGCTCTGAAGTCTTCTTTCTCTTTATGGAGATTATAGTCTCTGGTATGATGACATTACTCTTTTGGAGCTCACACTACATAACCCCTTAGTACGCAATGAAATCTCTTCATTTATAAAATTTTTCAAATAAGTATTTCTAAACACAGTGGAGCTGGACATTGGGGATCAGTGCATCCATTCTCTACTGTGAATGTCTAGTGAAAAGGGTGCTTGTGAGCTCATATCAACCAATATTCACAACCACAGACCCAAACTGTTCTCTTGTGCCTTGATTTCTGATGAAAGTCAATCTTTGTATATGTGTATTTCTAATAAATTAATTAAATATTTTACATAGTGCTGAAGCAAGATCGTTTGATGCCTAAAGGCAATAAATTCCAGAAGGGGACGTTATTTGACTTTGCAGAATATTATGAATCTAGATGAAGATGTTTTGCTGGTTAGACTATTGCCTACGTACCAACAAATAATATACATTCTTGTTTAGATCATCAGAAGGCGAATTCATAGATACTAAACAAGCTATATGTAAGGTTATATGAATGAGTGGTTTATCGTAAGCATGAATAAAAATAGTCTATAATACAACAGATTAATACAAAACAGCAATAATACACACAATGGCCTGAAGAAAATGTGTGTTCATTCAAAGAAAAGGTTTTCCTATGAATTAATTAGTAGAACAGTCCATTTCTCCTGTGCATTTGTACCCCTTGTTTCTGGAGAAAGCAGAATGAGAGCCGGCTCGCATTCCACAAGGTTGTAAATGTATCGGGTTACCATGAAACCAGGGTCTTGTTCGGCGTCCTGGGGTGTTACAAAGTATTTGTGAAAACAAAATATATATTATGTGTTGGAGTGGTCCAGACGCTACATCTCTCAGAATGAGATGTCACAAATGGTTTTAAATATGACATCCTCATACTTGTGTCCGTGTATGCTTTTTGACTCATTTTGAAGACTGAAATATCTGTCATTACCAGACAAAAGCATTATTATGCTGGTAATCATAACAAACCCATTATAATGAAAAGACTCATGGAACTTCAGATACATCAGATAATAATGCACCATTATGTTTACTGATTAATTTTGTTACTCGCCAGGAAAAAACATGAATAATTTAAGCTTTTTCCATGCTAAGGAAAATCCCTTTACTCTGCAGGTTTGTTGATGCCTGTGAATTTCCTTTAATTTATTGTAGAGACATGTCTTGTGTGTGCAACAACTTATCGTTTCTATTTGTATTGTTAACTGACATTATTGTATGATTTTTTTTTTTGCTTCACACTTTATCTTTAGTGTGTATGATGTTTACTAGAGGATTATTAATTTTAATGATTAAAGACAAGGAGAAATGTGAATTTATGCATCCTTATGCAATGTGCCAAACTTCTCTTTCAGGTATACTTTTACCGATTAGGCTGACAACTGAATTTTTCATAATAGTAACAAACATAAAACTGTATCCTTCTTGCCAAAAGGAAAGAAACCATTTTAGTTACATAAAGTACTTCTGTTATCGGTTGAAGACTGATTAACTGGATCAACAAGTCTGCACATTTACGCATTTTGTTTGACATCATACAACCACCCTCAAAAACATATTTTACAAATGTATGCATGACTAAGACCAAAAAAGTGAGTAATAATTTTTGTACATTGATCAGGAAGTGACGTCCTGTTAATGCAAGGCTGTGCATGAAAATATTTGATTACTTAGGGGAAAAAAAGTAGTTCTCAATATATTAATTATTTATATATTATATTTTTATGAATAAAAAAATTAAGTTTATGTATCCAAACGTTCACGTAGCTGTACGGAGTAGGCATTATGATACATTCCAGAGATTTTGAACCATTCAGATGCTAACTGTAATAGCAGGTAAACTTTTAAATCAGGCAAAGCATAGACAAAGAATCCCACTGTCATTCAAAATTTTGGGGTAAGTAAGATTGTTTTATGTTTGTGAAAGACATCTCTTATGCTCACCAAGGCCATCAGTCACATGATCCTTCTGAAATCATTCTGATATGCTAATTCGGTGCTCAAGAAACATTTCTCGCCACAGTTGACAACGATTCAACAGTTCAGTGTTGTTGCAAACCATGTTACATTTTTCTCACAGTATTTTGATAAATAGAAAGCTCAAAAAGCATCTATTTGAAATATTTTTGTATCAATATAAAAGTATTTACTGTCACTTTTGATCAATTTAAGGCATCCATAAAAGTATTAAAACTCTCAGTGACCCCAAACATTTGAATGGTTTTGCAAAGATTTGAAATAGATCAGTGTAAATTAATCAGTATTACATAAGTTCTGACAAAGGATAGTGAATAATGATTTTCATGTTCCATGTTCTCAAAGTTAATTGAAGTTGTTTAGCCACTTCCTTAAATCTGTTTCCTCTTTGATTTAAATCTGGTCATGATTTGAGCTATTGCTTTTTCACATCAAAATAATCTTTAAAATGTGACAAAATGGCTAATTTTGTACTTTATTTATACAGTATCAAAATTAATAAACTTTAAAAGCTTCCTCATTTACAATATCGTCAAATAGTATATGTCATACAAAAGAAGAACTCCATTTTGGCAATTTTATGAAAAACATGAAAGAAATTCATATGGTAATTTGTCAGTGCATTGATTCATTTTTGATACAAAGGCAGGGTGTGCAGCATAATGAAAAATCTCAGTTAAATATGTAACAATCTTAACAGCAAGTCTGAGCAAAGTCAAACTCTTGCAAATGCTTGCCACGTGTAGATCAGATGCGTTTAGTCCACAGTCTACAGTAAAGTTACAACAAATAATGGAAGAAAAACTTTCCCTGATTGCCCATCTTGTGGACACTGTTATATTTTATATACCTCCCATTTTTCCAGCATAAGAATTTAAGTTCAGATAGAGTTCAGGTGTGTTTGCATATAGACATCCACTATGATCTCTATGAAACTCAAAGTTGGAACAGCTTCAACTTTTAAACTTTGTTCTGATCTTTATAACAAATACCAGGACATTGAGAAATGAGACAACGTAAACAATGACACCCATGAGGCATTTTCATTACGTCTTCTAACATACAATGAACTCCACTCTTCCTCCTATCTTTTAGTGTGTGTGTGAAGGTGGAAGTGGGTTTTGTATGCAAGGTGTGTTCTCCATGAATGCCTTCCTGGTTACTTGATAACTCTTGAGCTTTTTCATGGGTTTTCACCTTTGCACTTTTTAAGAAATTAATGAGAGGAATGAATCAGAGAGCAATGCATTCAGTCCCCATTAATTCTTAGGATCATGGCAGTTATGCAGTACTTTGAGCTGAAGTTGAAGCCTGAAGGAACTAGGCTCTTAATCAAACGACTCCAGGTCTGAACCCAGGTACCAGTGTTATCACAATCCTGGTTGATCTCCACTAAGCAAGACACTTAATCCCTGCTGTTTCCAAGGCAAAAGTTTCTGAAATCTGGCATATAGAATTTCACGAACCATCTGCCAAATAACAAACACTCAAGAAGACTGGCAGTTTTATAGGTCTTGATGGACGATGAAAGATTTTGAGACTGTCCAGATATTCAAAGTTTGTTTTATGCCCCCAGATCACTCTGTGAATACTTGATGGAGAAGGAAACATGGAAACATTCTTCAAAGTATATCAGACTGTATCTTGTACATGGGTACTGAGAGGTTTGGAGCAGAAGCTCTCATGTCTACACTCGATCTGTAGGCTGGCTTAAATATTGGCTTGAGTTCAGATTTAAACTGTGGTTTAGACCCAGGTTTATACTCAGGCTTAAAGTCTGGTTTAGACTCTATTTTAACCTTGGGTTTGCTGTCCAATTCATGCATAGGAATGGTGCAGTTGCTGTCCTCGTCTCGGTATTGTCCATTAAGCGGTGTGCTGCTTCTTTGGTGCCTCTTACACTTGTTGGCACATCGAATGACGCGTTTGGAGATCAGGTAGATGATCTCACAGACACTGAGCACTATGCAAAGAGCTGAAGCTCCAACCATGAAGTAGGTGAAGACTCTTTTCTCTGTGGGTCGTCCAATGTAACAGTCCACAATGTTGGGACATGGCTGGACCTCACACTTCACCAGCCGTGGCAGGTAGAAACTGTCATAAATGTGATGGAGAATGTACAGGAAGGTGATCTCGATGCCAGTCTTGACAAAAAGGCTGATCAGGTACGTCCACCACAGTCCACCGTGTTTCTTCCCCGTGTTGTCGTAGAGCTTGGCTTTTTCACCGTGCTTCTCACGGTACTTGCGTTCGCACTCGTCACGGTACTTCACGTGCATTACCACCATCAGTGATGGACAGGTGACGAAGATGAGCTGTAGGGCCCACAGTCGGATGTGGGAAATGGGGAAGAAGTGGTCATAGCAGACGTTTGCGCAGCCCGGCTGCTTGGTGTTGCAGTCAAAGTCTTTCTGGTCATCGCCCCAAACTTTCTCAGCCGCTACAACGTAAACCATCACCCTGAACACAAAAACCACTGAGAGCCAGATCCGGCCAAATGCAGTGGAGTATTTATTCACCCCACTGAGCAGGGCTTGAAAAGTCTTCCAGTCCATGGCTCAGAGTATGGCCAAGTCACACTTGGTGTCCTCTGATCCTCTTTAACACTGAATATCTCTGATGAAGAATACAGCAACCTGAAAATGAAAAAAAAATCACAATGAGTGAACTCATTCAAAACAACTTCTTGTATTTAAAAGCAACATGGTGGGATAGGTTTCTCACCCTCATGTTATTCCAATATACTGAAAAGGTGATTTATTTATTTATTTATTTTTTAAGGCCACTCTCATCCATAGGAATGGATTATGATGATTTTGGGAATTGGGGGATTTTAGGCCCTGAATGATATTTTCATTAATTGAACTGATTCGATTCTTCCTGAATCTGACTCAGTGATCTGATCACAGCAATTAGTAGATCACTTGAGGTGAGGATTAAAGCAAATAATTACTTAATTTTCAGTCTGTTAGTCACAGAATGCTATTATTGTATGACTTCAGAAGACTTGAAATATCTAGTGCACAAGTCGTATGGATCACTTTTATGATGCATTCATGGTTTCTTTTATTCTATTTTGGAGCTTGATGCACATAACAAATCAAACAGGTTTAAATGGACATGAAGGAGTGTAAATTATGACAATTTTATTTAGTTAGTTGTGTGTGAACTATCCCTTTAAATGCTTTAGAATGGTGTATGCTCAAATCATAAAATGCTTCTCGCAAGATAGGCCATCACGCCATTCATCATCTTCATCATCTTCATCAGAAAAGGCAAACAAAATCATTGCTCTATATTTTTTTATATCAGTTTTAGTGCTTTGCCTTTAAAACACATCCTCCATATAATGTTTTACTCAAACGAATGGATGTGCCATCAGCTCTAACATTTGATGATATTTTAAGTTGGCTATGTGTTGAATCTACGGCTGAGTCCTGCTGTTTTATGTCAACTGTAATCAAAAAAGTCAAACCAGTGCCGATCTCTTTCTCGCTACTTTGTGTCTTCAATTTCTTTGTATATCAGCGGTTGTCGTTTTTAATTGTCAATGGCAGTTAAGTTGTTCTCCAGCATTGTAATGATCAAATATTGCAATGCTTTTCTTCTTTTGAAAACGCAGGCATATTTGTAATAATGTACCATATTAAACGGCGCATAAAATCGCCACTAAATATAGATTTCACATTAAAAAAAAAGATCAACCGACAACAATCTTACACGCAAGTTTAATTGCTACCTTAGGCTATACTTTAAAAAAAAGTTCAACCACTTTGCCTTTAATTAGGCTACTAATCAGAAAAATCGATTCAATCGAGTAGAAATGACAGCTCAAAGCAAGTGAACGGAAACAAGGATGTTCTCATGTAAACATGTTTATAGCGCGAATGCTGACGAGTTGATTGTCATTTGAACAATGTGAATCGTTTCTAAAATTTCACAAAAACAATGTTTATTACTTACTTTGGATGTATCTTTTCTCTTGTAATTCAGCGGCTGTTAAACTCTTTTCTGAAATCCTGTTTGTTTGGCTTCCCTGTGGATCTGGTTTGGTAGCACGCCTCAGTGAGGGTGGAGTTCAGTATCCAGACTAGAGGACAGCTTTGCCATAAACCTCTTACTTTCAGATAGCAAGCTAATTAAATACATATTTGTATGTAAAATGCTCTCTCAAAATCATCATGCCTTTCTGTGCATTGTCTTAAATGCCCAGTGTAGGGAACAGAGGACTGTTCTGTTTATGAAGTTACAGTGTTATGTCTAAAATGACTGTGATATGACTCCATAAAAGTTTTTTTTTGTATAATGTTAATATTATGGTACTGCATTGTCTTTTATGCAACAAATAGTAAACCCTTGCCTGTGAAGCCTAGTAACATTTTCCATCTTATTGTACAATAAATAAGACTCCCTTTGTTTGGACAGCTCTGTCAAGTATACACTGCGTGTTAGTGGTTTGTGGTGTTGCCAATGTCTGCAGGCGGCTTCTCCATGTTCAAACTTGTCCATGAATGTCTGTGCTCCATAGTCACGTAAAGGACCACACCTCATCCTAAACAACAGCTTTAGAAATGTTTTTTTGCTTAGAAACTTGTTGTGGGTCTCTGGAGGCATACTGTAGCTTAAATATTTAATATATATTGGCACCTTTTTAGTGTTGTGTCAAGAATCCGGTATACCAATTATTTTGTGTAATTAAAGTTAATATGTTCCAAGTAACCCGTGGCTTAGGTCTGGGATGCAGGAAATCCTTTTTGAAAAAGCTCTTTGGTGTGGATATGAATTTATGTCAGCTTGATTCTCCTTATGTGCAACAGTTTTAGCTAGTGGTGGGAATCTAATGGTTAAGGATTTGTGCTGGTAATACAAAAGACTGTCGGTTTGATTCCAAGTAAACCAGAAGTGGAGTTTTCCACAGGAAAAGTCTCTGTGGTTCTTTTTCATCAAAGCTTGAGAAATTCTTGTCGGTCACACGTGTGAAGCCCTCTGACTCACTGCTAAAACCTCTGCAGGATGATGATTCATTCTCTGAATCAGGTATCAAAAGAGCTGTAGTTTTATAATTTGCTCTATAATTTTGTCATGAGGATCGCCAGTCTTACCCGTTATTCAGGCCATGTGTTCTGTCTGAACTGGTTTACACTGGTTTATGTGGGGGAATGGTTAACTTCAATTGGATTTGCATACTGAATTTGAACTTTTGTGATAGATTTCTAGCAACAAAAAATTAGTTAAACATGCACCAGGTTTGCTAAGTGCATATACAGTACATATGGTTAGCAATTGTTGATGCTGATATTTATGGATTAAAGTGACGTTAACGATGATGAAAAGAGACAGAGAGGAAGCACAAGCACAATGAACAGGGAGTGGAATGTTGGTTGCGTTAAAAATGGAAAAGGACTCGTCGGATCGGTTTCCACGCCTTAAGAATGTAGATGTGACTCACAAAACCTGCTTCAACACGAATTAACTACATCTACCCTGCCTTTCACTACACAGAGGTTATGGAGATATCAAGAAACGGAGAGAGACAGGCCAAACCAGGCCTGGAGGGACATGGAGGGACGTTTTTGTTGTCTTGGGGCACTTTTGTGTACTGAAAAGAGTGAAGACCTGAATGGTGTAACAGGAATACACCTGAAATACAATCCAGTTGCTAAACAGCACGAGGATTAGTTTAAGAAAAGTGGTTTGTTATTCCACAGTGCAACAGGAATCTGAAAATGTAAAGACAGGATTGGCCAAATGCCCCAACATTGAGAGAATTTATGGAAAACCATTTTTATGAATTATGAGTATATATATATATATATATATATATATGTATGTGTGTGTGTGACCCTGGACCACAAAACCAATCTTAAGTCGCTGGGTTATAATTTTAGCAATAGCCAAAACAACATTGTATGGGTCAAAACTATCAATTTTTCTTTTATGCCAAAAATCATTAGGATATTAAGTAAAGATCATGTTCCATGAAGATATTTTGTGAATTTCCTACCGTAAATATATCAAAACTTAATTTCTGATTAGTAATATGCATTACTAAGAACTTCATTTGGACAACTTTAAAGGCGATTTTCTCAGTATTTTGATTTTTTTGCACCCTCAGATTCCAGATTTTCAAATAGTTGTATCTCGGCCAAATATTGTCCTATCCTAACAAACCATACATATTCAGCTTTCAGATGATGTATAAAACTCAATTTCGAAAAATGTATTGTTAAGACTGGTTTTGTGGTCCAGGGTCACATATGTGTGTACATACATATGTATATGTTCATTTATTAACTGAAGAGCATTAAAAAATGAAATAAGAACATTTGTTTTCTCATTTTATCTTGCAATTTTCAAACTTGGTGTGAATCCAAATGAAATGTCATGCCGACAAAGCACATGTTTATCGCTGCTATTTTCATTCATTTAATTTCAACTGGTTTCAAAAGTAAAAGTTTTCATCTGCATCCTGATTTTAACAGACATCACTGATTTAAACGAGCAGCAGATTGTAAGAAAATAAAAAGCAGATTTTAATGTATCTCAAAATGTAAACAACTCTAAACACAGTAATTAGGAAAGAATGCTGAAAGGTTAGCATACAAACAGGATTTCTATCCTCGGAGGATGTTTACTTTTCTGGATATGTTCATCAGTGAATGAAAAACTCTCTCATACACACACACAGGCAAGTCAATTGCCTTATTTGAATTTGATCATCTGGCAGTGTTGAGCATTTATCAATAAATTCTTGGAAGACATTAGATTGGAGCACCACAGTTTAAGCACACATTAGCATACACACACACACACACACCAGCCAATATACAAAACAGTAACTCAGCAAAAATGATGACAAAATATTGAATAGTAATAATAAAAAATAAAATACAGTAAACTGTTTTGTACAAATTTGTAAACAAACAAATTCAAAATTACATTCAAATTTAAGTATAAATTAGGGTTCACTATTTACTGTAGGTGGATTTGAGGATGTCTGTTTGTAAAAATGTGTTGAGTTTAACAGCATGCACTTAAATATATGGAGAAGAAATTTAGACTCTGTATGTGATATGCATGCTGTTCTCACATCCAAAAGAAAGATATCATTTTAAAAGCATAATTAATTTCCAGCTATGGAAGCCTGTTTCCACCTCAGAGTAAAAATAAAAATTGTCAGATAAAGTTTAATAGTTCAACGAGAGATATAGCCATATGAAATATAGTCACATTGCAATGTTGCAGTTACAAGATGTCACATTGCACCATATAAAGTCACATTGTGAGTCACAATTGGGAAAATTAAAGGGACAGTTTACCCGAAAATAAAAATTCTGTCATCATTTACTCACTCGAACATCAGTGCAAACCTGTGAAAGTTCATGCATACCATGAAAGTCATCAGTGTTCAGTGTTGTTTTGCACCGCACTGACTTTCACTGTGTGGACAAAAACTGTTGAAACATTATTCAAAATATGAAAAGAAGGTTTTACAGGTTTGGAACGACATGAGGATGAGTAAATGATGACAGAATTTTTATTTTTGGGTGAACAATTTTTCAAGTCACATTGTGAGTTAAAAAAAATTGATAAATGTGTACTATGTAATTAATAGTAATTATTGTAATTACTTGGGCTTATACCATCTGTATTGTATTTGCTTAGTTTAAAGTGCCCGTTGGTGTTGGTGTTTTGGATCTTGGACTAACAGAAGCCACACCACACCCAAAACCCTGAAGAGACTTGCTTTAGTCAAATTAAAGACTGCGTCATCCTGAATGCTGACATTTTGACCCCTATAAACTTTTGAAATGTACAATGTTATTTATCAGGCCTCAACTTTCCAGCAAAAAGATCCAGTGGATATAGGGCAAGCATACAAGCTGCATCCTCTACTGCCAACCGTCCACTGAGTTGGTCATGTTTGCGTTCACATCGTGGTGAACATGAGGAACATTTTCCATCTCTCTGAGTGAAAGTATTTTCCAAGCTCATGCTTTTTAGGATGAGATGACCACATAGTATGCTGGCGCTGGCTGGCCTTTGCTTGCCAGTTTCTTGCTGTTTGAATCTAAATTAGTATTTGAGCTCCTCATGTTAGCGATGGACCTTGCCTTGTTTATCTGCCGTGAGCCCTGCATCCTGTGGATACATTCAAAGCAGCGTTTGCCCACCAGGTAGAGGATTTCGCAGAGGGAGAGCAGGATGCACACAAGACTTGTCACCACCATGAAGATGGTGAAGATACGCTTCTCTGTGGGCCGAGAGATGAAGCAATCAACCACATTAGGGCAGGGACGCTCAGAACACTTCACCATGGTGGGGAAGTCATAGCCCTCATAGATGTGATACAGGAGATACACGAAGGTCACATCCACTCCCATTTTAAAAACCAGCGAGAGGACGTATGTCCACCAAAGACCACCACGCTTCTTTCCAGTGTTGGCATACAACCGCTGACAGCCCTCGCCATTTTTGAGGCGGTGCTTCCGCTCGCGTTCCTCACGATAGGCCACATGCAGCACCACGAGGAACGACGGACAGGTGACGAAGATGAGCTGCAGCGCCCACAGACGTATGTGGGACACCGGGAAGAAGTGGTCGTAGCAAACGTTATGGCAGCCAGGCTGAGCAGTGTTACACGTAAAGTCTTTCTGCTCATCGCCCCATACCTTCTCCGCAGCTACGACGAAGACCATGACCCTGAAAAGGAAGACTATGGACAGCCAGACACGGCCGAATGCGGTGGAGTACTTGTTGACCCCACTCAGGAGACCCTGAAGAAAAGCCCAATTCATGGCACCCGTGAGCGTTCAGGTTATCTCACCTGAATACCTCTCACCTGATAGGGAGGGGAGCAGAGAGAGAGAGAGAGACAAAAGAAACGTAACGTTACATAAAAATTCACTTGGGTGGTTTCTGTTATACAAAGTTAAACTACACACTTCTGTGATGATTCACATTTTTTTTTATCTTTACCCCTTTAGAAAAATGGAGAAGCCCTTTTAGAAAGATGGAGAAGGGACCACTGTTATATAATGTATACAATTTTAAGTCAAGCTTATAACATGCAGTGCCTTATTAATATATTTACATACTTTATGTACAAACTAGGCTATTTAAAAATCGCCAGTGATGCACACATTCAAATACATATTATTTTACTTAATACATTTCAATGAGGAATGTATAATGTTTACGTAACGTTACATATTTCATCATTTTTATATCATAAAAGTAGTTATGAACAAACAATAATTAGGCCTAGATCGAAGAAGACAGTAATAAGGTACAATTTAGAATCAAACATAAAAACGCCCGTGTTAAAGTTTCCACATTCAGGCAAGTGGTTCTGGTAGAAAAATATATTTCCACTTTTTTTTAGGAATGATGTTAAACGGAATAAATATATTTAGAAGCAGTTTTTATAACGATGTGTATTGTATACAATCCCGACCATTTTAAACTGTCTATTACTCTGTTCACAAACCTATAAACTTAAACGTTTTTGACTGTAAGCTTAAAAAAAAACTTACGGAAAGTGAAACATAATCTATACATTTATACCAAATGTATTAGTCGAACAAACAAACGTAAGATTATTTAGTGTATACTTACAGTCTGAGAACTCGCAGTTGTCTACAGTGCAGTCGGAACGCCGTGATTGTCTTGTTTGTAGCAGTCTGGCGAACTGCGGGCGTGAAACTCAACTGACACGTGTGATGAACTGAACAGCGACGCCACCTAGTGGACAACCTCATAAGCGACGCTTTGACGCCACCTGGAGGAGAGCAGTAGACGAGCCAAGCAGCAGCTCCGCTTTGAGCTGAACACTATAAATCAGTTATGCCGATTAAATCTAAAATAAATATTGACCCATTTAGTCCTTTTATTTATAATCAATACATTTACACAACCTTTGGTTAAGCATTTAGAAAATTACTTTACAGAAATGGCACTTACAAACAACAATTTCTACATGATGAAATTGTTTAGTCAATCATACTGAGGAGACAAGTTGCTCAAGTTTAGGAATAGGAATGTTGTCCCATTCTTGTCTAATACAGGCTTCTAGTTGCTCGACTGTCTTAGGTCTTCTGTGTCGCATCTTCCTCTTTATGATGCGCCAAATGTTTTCCATCGGTGAAAGATCTGGACTGCAGGCTGGCCATTTCAGTACCCGGATCCTTCTACGCAGCCATGATGTTGTAATTGATGCAGTATGTCAACTTTTTTGGAATTGGGTTTGTACTTCAGTCTGTGTGCATTGAATTTATTTAATACACGAGTTTCACAATTTGAGTTGAATTACTGAAATAAATGAACTTTTCCACGACATTCTAATTTGAGATGCACCTGTGTGTGTATATATATATATATAGTGAGAGAGAGTTAATATCTTTCTATTGCAATATAGTTCAGTTGACTAGTTTTAACTATTTGAAAAGTTATCTAATAATGCTGATAATACACTAAAAAAAATTAGAGCACAGTAAGCAGTAGTTTTCCACATGTATTTTTTCACCCAGGTGTTTTACTTGTATTTTGACTTTTGCACTGCATTGGGTTGTGTTTCAGGGTTAACAGAAATGCTCATAATATTAATGGATAATGTCCTGACAGAAAATTCCTAGTGCATTTTCCAGTTTTTGTGTGCCTGTTATAAATACATGACCTTTTTCAAAAAATCTTCAAATATTTTTCAATAAAATAAAACACTGCTTTAAAAATTAAACATGGAGAAGGGGTGATTAATGTTTTTTAGTATCGAACTGTAGAAGCTACTAAATGTATTCAGCCAACACAGATTTTTGTTGTTTGCTGTAGCAGGTTTGCATTGATACTACACTTCGCGCTGAGATCTATCTTGACATTTTACTTAATTTTCTGATATTTAGACACAGGAAAGAAAACATTAAAGTATGAATCCAAACGAGAGATGAGAACAAAACAGTATTTATTTCATTTAAACTGTACAACAGTCGCTGATATATTGTTTGCATGAAAAGTTTTGGTTGCCGCTCACCGCAACCACTGTATAATTAAACATACGCCTCTGGGACTGTGTTTTTAAGATTCATGTTGTACTGGGAGAGATTCACATTTTCTGTTCTCAAGACCGAGAACCGGGTCATGACTGCAGGGGGTGTAGAAATAATTACCCTCATCTGAAAATCACAGACACAGGACATGGAATTCAAACATGAGAATTGACTGTGACAGAGAGAGTAATGACAACATAAATTAAAGATGTGATCAGAGGACAGTCCTGAAGGGCATGATCATGATATTGTCATATGCTCGGACCTCAGGGATGTCGGACGCCCGATTAAGGATGCAATCGGGCGGAGGGGGATTTGGTTTGGGAATCAATCCCACAGAATCCTATAGTAGCTGGTCGACAAAACAGAGGCAGTTTCAAGTCAAAGGAAATGTGACTCGAATGGACCTCAAACGCAGGTGTGCGCTTTCCGCACGAGGAGCTGTCAGTCTGGGTCAAGGGTCACACCCTTATGACCGTTCTGAGAAAGACAACCACAAGTCCAGGCTGCAAAGGTTTTCGAAATTCTATAAAACAAACTTTTGTTTTGTTACAATAAAATTCAACAAAATGAAAAATAAAATGAAATCATATATAAATGTAAGGGTCCTTTTTTGAATCCTGCGGCCAAATTGGGTATTATTCTTCCTCGCTCTCATTTTCAGGGTCCAGATCTGAATCACCATTCGTTTTTGATTCATCATTCATATCTTCCTCTTCATCGTCCTCCTCGTCTTTGTGGTTCTTTTTGTCTTTCGTCACTTCCATTGCTGCCTCATCCTCCTCCCAGTTCTGAATAGACAAATCAACATGAGAACAATCCCATAGCGCCACATTGCATACACAAGAACTGAGAGCATCTCTTACATCCGAGTCATCATCAGGACGCCCTTCATCTCCTGAGCCTTCCTCCTCATCTGAAGACTCTGTAGAAAAAATGAAGAATTTATTTATTTTTTGCCATGTCAGCATTTAAGACAATGAGGAAATTGAGAATCCGTTCAAAAATAGGTCAATTAATAAAAGAAAGGTTAGACAAGATAAATAGTTTACATACAGAACAATAAAATGTACTTAATGAGTCTTTAGATCATTACATTTGTGTATTTTGCTGCAAAAATTGGTTGTGGTTACTAAAAAAATATTTAGTAGTAAGTTCTTTACCTTCTTCATAAACCAGCTGTGCTTTGTGAGAAATATTACCAACTTTCTCAGCGCTGTTGTTTGTCGCCACCTAGTAGAAAAAATACATGGAAATGAGCACACCGAAAAATCAAAGCAGTGATTAACATCTGTTCTAGTTGCTTGTGTTTGAGCAGCTCACCTGTGTCATGAGCAGGTACAATTTACCATGGAGTCGGGTGAGCTGCTGATACAACTTCACCCTGCTCTCAATCATATGGTAGATTGAGCCCAACTGAGACACTAGATCTGGAAGCTGTGGGGAAACAAGATGGAAACCAAATGAGGAACCCTAAAAAAAATTATCTACTGTGGATTCAAGACTAAAGATGCACTGTCACAACATTAAGATCTTGATTATGTACATTTGTGTGACAAAGATGCACACAGACTTACCGAAGACAAGTATGATGTGTGTTGTGTAAGTACAGCCTTAAACCACTGAACTATTAGCAGAGCCCTGCACAGAGAAAAACAATCATGTTACAAAAGGTTTAATGCCTTTAAAATACTTAAACATTAAAAGTAACAAAAACCAACAGAAGTGAAAATTACTTACGCAAATGGATGCCCCTGCAGTCTTCTGGACAGCTACAGAAACAACCAAAACATTACTTTAATAAAAATAAAAATATACTATTTAATGTTTTGTGGTCAGCAAGATTTTTTTTAAGGTTTTGAAAGACTCTTATGCTCACACTAAGGCTGCATCTATTCAATAAAAAACATGATAAAAGTAACACTGTAAAACACATCATAAAATTGTAATTTATTCCTGAATTTTACTCTAGTCTTTTACTAGGTGTCTCAAATCATTCTAATATTGCTGATTTGGTGCTCAAGAAACATTTCTTATAAATGTTGAAAACGGCATATAGTTAGAAACATAACAGTATAAAGAACTGAATTTATATGAATCAGAAATACTAGTGACTTCGTCTTTACAGTCACTTTTGGTCAATTTAATGCATACCTGCTAAACAGTATTAAATTTCACATTCATTTAAAGCTGCAGCACGTAACTTTTTTTGTTCAAAATGTACAAAATGTATAGTAGAAGATGTATAGTAGTATAGTAGCGAATACACCATGAATTTATTTTCCAAACCGTGTTTTTGGCTTGTCCTGAATCACTACGGTACACCTATGATAAGTGTTTATATTTGGACTATTTTAGACTAGTTCGGGTAGGTACCGCTGCAGAGTAGTCCAGTACCTGCGTGATTCGCCATAGACATAAAAAGAGAGAAGTAGCTCCAGCTAAAATATTCTTCTGCAAGACGCACGCAGTTCTGTTCATTAACTGCTAGAGCGCCAAAAGTTACAGACTGCAGCTTAAAAAAATTATCTTACTGATCTTGAACTTTGAATGCTAATATACATACACAATACATAATACATATTTAACAATGTCAAAATGACAAAATACCTCTTCCAGCAATGGCAGGACAGCCGAAGGTGGTAACCGGGCAACAGTGTTCTTTATCAACATCTCTTTTTTGGTTTGAAATATTTTCTGTTAGAAAGAATTAAATTACATGAGAATGTTAACAACATGCATAGACAAACACTAAATATCAGACACTTCAAACTTTGCAGAGTTCAGATTTTAAACATTCAACTGATCATTTCATAATTTTGTAGCAAGATGTGTAACTTACAGTTAGGATCCGCTCGTCTTTGCTCTCCAGTCCCTGCACAAGCAGTACAGCAAAACTGTCCGTCTGCAGGGAGGATGAGCCTTTACCAGCACCCCTGCCTTCGACACTCAACTCAATCTGATTTAACCGCTCCTCGATAGAAATCTACAATAAGATGGAGAGGATTTTGCATGTATTAGATTGAAGAAATTCCTTAATTTAACTCTCGATGGGGAAAAAAATCTTGATTTTACACAAATTTAATGAACCCAGTTAGGTGGTACCTCTGTGGTAATGTCCTTTTTTTTCCTCTTCTCTGCTTCATTGGGAGTTAATTTGATTGGTGCCTTGTGTCCCGGAAGTCCTGGTACTAAAACCTTGCTCTGTTTATTAACAACTGGTGTCTTCACCTAGAAGATGATTTTCAAATTAATGCATTGAACTTATTTTTAATATCAAGCTTTCAGGTTTACTTTTTTTTTTTAAAGGGGTCATATGATGCGATTTCAATTTTTCCTTTCTCTTTGGAGTGTTACAAGCTCTTGGTGCATAAAGAAGATCTGTAAAGTTGCAAAGATTAAAGTCTCAAATCCAAAAAGATATTTAAACAATTAAAAAATATTCTGTTTATTTTGAATACGCACCCTCCAGCGGCGAAAATTACATATTGTGCCTTTAAATGGTCTTAGAGTGTGACAAAGAAGTGTTGAAAGGACAAATATTTTAGGTAGTCACACAATTAGTGACATCAATAAAACTGCACACAATTATACTAATTATACAAAAATAAGCAGCTTTTAATAGATGCTGCTTGAAACTAAATGT